AGTCTCAACAGAGCCCTAGGAAGAGGGGCTAGGCTGAACCCTCAGAACGCAGCACTTCCAAGAACATGTCCTCCACTGGAAAGAAACCACCTGATACTGAAACATTTGATAAGCAGCAATTGGTAATGACTTGGGGAAAAAAAGTCTACCCAGTTTTGTAATTTAAAGTGTGGATCCATCTCTGTCATGACATATGCTCCTTGAAATATCAGAAGTCTTGTAACATCTGCTGCTCAAGCAAGGCCACCTATCTGAATGTTCTGTACTTGTGGCCCAAGCCTGTTCTGCCAGCATCTCTCAACAACTCTAGCCTTCTCAAAGACTCTCCTGGATGTGGTGATGAGATAGACCGATGCCAGAGAGTATTCTATATGCATCACACAAATGAATCCAACAGCAGCCTGAGGTTGGCACTACTGTTCCTCAGCAACACTGAGGCTCAGAGTCTAAGTGACAGGCATGAGGCCATCCAGTTCTGGGATTTGAAGCCAGGCAAACCCTGAGGCAGAGGGCCAACCTAATGACTGTCTTCTTACACTGTCTGATGGCTAAAGGTTCTGAAATGCAGTGAGGTTGAGATCAAAGTCATGCTTTTCAGCAACAGAGCTTTCCTCTTCAGATAGGGCTACACCAGCTGAATGAAAACTTATGACACCAGATGTTGCCAAGTTCCAGGCCAGGTCAGACACACCTTGCTTAGGCTCTGAGACATTGGCGGCCTAAACCTTCCAGAGGGTACCTCCTTCTACAAAGAGGTATTGTGCAGAGCTGGGGGAGGGAGGCAAGGGGCTTGAGCCAGGGACCAAGGCTTGAGAGAGTAGACTGATGTCCCCCATTGTCACTGTCCCCCCTCTTCTTGGTCTCACTTTTCCAGGGCTCTGATACACAGGACCAGTCACCCTATCCCATCTAGCCCTCTATACCTCTAGCCCTGTGTCTCCCTCCATTCTTGATGCTTGATGATGTTTGCTTCCAGCAATTTGCTGATAAGCTTAGCAGGCCTCCTGCTTCTCCTGCCTGTCTACATAGCCCTCCTCCTCATTCCTCAGGACAGTAACAGTCTAGGCTCCTACTCCAGCTGGCCAACCCTCTATTTCCAGGCACTACCATCAAGGACCATGTTGGGCCAGATGGTTGCCCATCCTCCTCTGGGCCTCAGGGGAGGGAGGTGCCTGACTCCCTTGGATCCCTGACAGGAGCTTCTTTCACTTTCTGAGCTTGATCGGGGTGATGACACACCCTGCAGGGCAGCAGCTGTGACTAATCCTGTGTTCTAGGCCTTGCCTTGTGTCTTGCTGGTGCTGTGACATGAAGCTGCCAGAGAGCAAGGCATCCTGGGAGGGCACAGGGATGGCCCCAATACAAAGCTCCCAAGGGTGTTGAGGGTGGGTCTAGGAGAGGAGAGAGAGGCAGGTGAAAGTAGAGGGCCCTGGAGGAGGCAGGCCAGAATGCTAGAGCCCACTTATGAGGTCTCAGAGCTTTGAGCCAGAGGGAAGAGGGCCTGGGGCTCCAAAACCTGGTTTGAACCTTCATCTAGCCACTCGCCAGGTAGGGCCCACTGCCTGGTACAATTCCATGAGTTACGGGCCGATGAGTTAAGGGCATAAAAGAAACAGAAGTTGCTGGAAATGCTCTTTAAAAGAAAGAGCATGCGATATCTCACTGTGTCCCCGCACGCCCCAGTGTAGAGTGGTAGCCCCCATGTCAGCAGGCTGTGTGGATAGAGCCCAGGCCTCTTCCCCAGAGCCTGTGCTTTGTTCCAGGATGCTGCCTGCTTCACAGCAGTAGAATCTCTTCTCATTCCTTTCCATGTCGCTCTGCCCTGCTTGCTACCCTATGTTCCTACTGTTTTTGTGACTCCCTCCCAAACCCAGAACAGACAGTTCTTGGGGAGGGGCCTCTTACAGTGATATACAAAAGCCCCACTAAACTGCAAAGGCAATGCAGGCTTAGCAGGGAACAACACAATGAGCTCCACACAAAAGGGGATGACAGTATGTTACCTCCCTTTATCTGCAGGGCTGTGGCCACACAAAGCCCCTCCCTGGAAGGAATCATAGGAGGAAGCAGGTCAGGAAGGAGAGTATTCCAAGTTCACAAAAGCAAAGCCCTGGCATCCTGGTACCCTAGCAAACTCCACTTATCACAGGAGGGCAAATTTTCCTCAGTACTTTGGTGGGGATGTCAGGATGGCAAAGCCTCGAGGAACTATGAGGCATTGACCAGCTCTCCACAGCCTCTAGGGCCCATTCTGTTCAAGCAAGTTTATGGCAAGGCAGGACCCACATCAGCCACCAGGAACCAGGCCACAGGGGGCAGTTGGGCTGCCTCTCACCCAGGTATCCTTAGAATATCTTCTTTTCAGTATCAAGATTTGAAAATTTTGGATTTCACTAACCCACCATGATGGTTCCAATTTCCAATGAATCTAATACTTATTTGAAATGATTCTTGGAAAAATACCTTTGTGACCAGTAGACTTGTGCCACAGAGTGTGGTTTCTAGATAATTAGTATCTAAACACATACACATGTGTATGTTACTATTTGAACTCTGTGGCTATGACCACATGCAGATAATGGACTCTTGCCATAGAGAAGCCTGATGTTGCTTATTAGAGGATTGGGGAACAGGAGTGGGAGTGGAGGCTGGATACCCTTAGGTACAAAGCCAGAGGCTGCTATCACAAAGCCATCCAGGCCATGTCATAGCCTAAGGGCCAAGCAGTCTAGCCCAGGGCAACAAGCTCAACTCCTTGTCTGCTTCTCCCAGCCAGCTTTGCTGAGGCCTGATCTGGGCCTCACACCCCTGGAAGACTTTACCCAACAGCAAGTCTCCTCCCCTTCTCCTTCCAATGTGTTTGCCTAGCCCTTGCTCCTTCCCAGCCAACTTTTGCAAACACAACATTTTCTCTACAAAGCAGAAACAGCTGGGGCACAGAGCCCTCGATCCGGCTCTGCCTCCCACTGCCTGGGACTGACTTTAAGAATGCCTTGGGTTCCAGCTGCAGCCTTGTTTTGGGTCAGGCCCAGGTGGGCCGCCTCAGCTTTCCAGAGAAATAAAATGATGCTGACATCATAATGATACCAGTAATGGTGACAATAATGATAGCACTTAGTTCTATCATTACTCCTGTGTGTGTGCCAGGACACTATTGTTTTATGTTTCTCCCAGTGGCAGGCTATATGGTACAGTAGTTATAAGAACAGCCTCTGTGGGCCTGGCTAGTTACTGAGTCTCTCTGTGCCTTTATGTATTCTTGTATAAAATGAGCACCTCTTTCCTGGTAGCATGTGAAAGACATGAACACACACCTAAAAGTGCTCAGCACTGTGTTTAGCACATAGTAAATACTCAGTGAACGCTGGCCTTCCCGGAATCCTTGCACAGTCTTCTTTACCAGTCCCATTTTTACAGCTGAGGAAATGAGGCCCACGAAGATTTAGAACCTTGCACAAAGGTCTCAAGGTTCATGAATGCTAGAGCTATTATTTGTACCCAGGCCACTTGGTTCTACAGCCACTGTATGCCCTGCTTCCAACATTGCTGTATGTCCATAGGCCTGCCAATGCTTCCTGGTAGCTGTTGGTAACCAACTGGGGCAGGAGTCTACCTTAGCATGTGTGTGTTCTGTATGTAGTACATGTGTGTTCTGTGACCGTAGAGGCCCTGGAGAATGGGGCCTGGTTGGGGAGCAGAATGATGCCACCTGAAGATAACAGGCAGCTGCGAAAGGTCTCAGGCCACTTTCCTCTTTCTCATCTTGGGCCCTGCTGGATGGCAATGTGTGAAAAAAGTTTCCTAAGTCAAATGAGGGTTTTTTCTTAAGAGGACATGACTTTCAAGGCCACAGAAAGACCTTGCCTTGACTGCTCATGTGATACCAGCACATAGAGTTATTTGGTGGATTATTATTTTAAAAATCCTTTAAGCAGAGGATTTAAAAAAGATAGGCCTCTGAAGACCTAGAACTGGTGTCCTGTCCTCAGATACCCCATACTTAAGCCCCTCACTGGATCACCCTTGGGCAGTCCACAACCTGTACCTGTGTTCAGCTGGGAGAGGGCTGGGGCCAGGTAGAGTGCACTGATCTGAGTCAGCAGGTATGGACTGGGGGCTGCACAACTCCCCACTGGATGCATATCACAAACCTGACAGGGCCCCAAACTTCTAATCTATGAAATGAGCAGATGGGGCCACACATGCCCAAGATCCTTTATAACAGTAGCACTGTCATCAAAAGAGATGACAACTACCATTGACAGAGTTGCCACTGTCCTCACTGCTTTTTCTCAGAGCACTTGCTCACTTAGCTCTTACTCCCACCTCTCCATGTTGGTAGGTATGCTGGTTAGTTTTTGTTGACTTGATACAATCTAGAGTCATCTGGGAAGAGGGAACCTCAACTGAGGAATTTCCTCTGTTGGACTGGCTTCTGGCCCTGTCTGTGAGGCATCTTCTTAATTGCTGATTGATATAGGAGGACCCAGCCCACTGTGGGTGGTGCCATCCCTGGGCATGTGGGCCCGGACTGTATAAGATAGTTTAGCAAACCAGTGAGCAGCATCCCTCTCTTATCTTTGCTTCAGTTCCTGCCTTTAGGTTCTTGCCTCGGCTTCCCTTGATGATAGACTGTAAGCTGCCAGCCAAATGAACCCTTTCCTCCCCCCAAGTTGCTTTTACTCAGCGTTTTATCACAGCAACAGAAAAGTAAGACAGAAAGGATGCTTCATTTTGTAAAGGAAACCGAGTTTCAGAGAGTCCAGCTAGGGTGTGCTGAACTGATCAACTCTACGCTTAGGCTAAAGTCCTAAGCATCTGCCCTGGTTAAAGAAATACCACACTGTGCATTGGCCTTTATGCATATGGGCACCCAGGCCACCACCCAACCCCTGCTGACCAGCTCCAAGCCTCTTCTTGCCCTGTCAGTCAGTGGTCAGTAGGTCAACGTGCATTTGTAAGCACTCCCTAGCAGGTGCTCAGAGAAGACTGATACCTACCGTTCATTGTTCAGGGTCATTCTTGGGGGGTCCAGGTTGGGGTTCTCCATGGACTCCATCTGTGGACATCGTAGAAAGTAGTAGAGCGTGTGAAGGGCATCAGGGGACCAGGTGATCGGCTGTGATGGCTGGCGGGCCTGACGGGCAGGGCTGGTGCCTGGGCACAGGGGATGGCGTCCCTGCATGTGATGCATGGCTCTAGAGACTAGGTCACCTGGAGAGGAGGAGGAGAAGAAAACCCAAAAACAAAGTCTGAGTTCCCAGCCCACATTCTCCCAGGGATACAAGCTCCCTTCCCTTGGTGTGTAATTACTATTTACCCTGGAGTCAAGGGGTGGAGGAGGAGATTGTCACCTAGATGCACAATAGCAATTTGGTTTCCCTTTCATTTCCAGTCTTGCCTTAACAGCCGAATTATAAACACTTGGCAGGCTGGTCTCCTCCAGAATTTATGCTAATGTGGTTTCCTTTTCAACATCCCCACTCTCACTACTACCACAGGGGCCCTTCTCACAGTTCTTTGACCATGGGAATCAGCCAAGAGCAGGCTCTTGAGAGAGTCTTCCCTACACTGTTATGTGTAAAACCCTGAGACTTCAGTAGACAATGGTCACCACCATCCATTGAATACTTAACTATGCACAGAGGATGCAGTTCCCTAGAAATATGATTCAGTTTGGTCCTTACAGTGCTAGGGGTCAGGTATAGTCCCATATTCAGATGAAGGCACTGAGGCACATTTCCTGGCCCTGGTCACAGGAAAGTTTCAGCAGAGCACGAGGGTTGTGTTAACTAAGTGGCTCCAAAACCCATGAACTTCACTGTGATTTGGGTTGCACCCTGCCCTATTGGAGTCTATGGGGTCTTAGGGTCCCCATATCCTGTGTTGTGTTTCTGTTCTAGTCTTTTCAACATCCCACCAGTCTCTGACAGGAAATATCCCATCATTGTGTGAGGCCACAATGCTGAGAAAGGATGGGCTGAAACAGCCCCAGGCACCTGACGGCACCTCCATTCTGAAACAAGTAGCGCCTCTGTGTTCTCCAGGCCTGAGAACTCAGGGCTAGGGGTTGGGGTTGGGGGCTAGGGGGGTCATCTCTCCAGTGGGTCAACCTCCTAGAACTCACAGTGGTTCCCCACAGATGGCTCCTTCCACAGGAGGCCTTAAGGACCCAGCTAACCCTTATAGGCGTGGAAATGATGACGTTCTAACTGGGCCTGTTAAGTCAGCAGAACCCATTCATTCCTTTATTCAGTTAACCTTCATCACTCAGCTTCTGGGAGTCTGGTTCTGCTTTCCTTGCATCCCTATCTCCACACACAAGGCACTCAGAAATGCTGGGGAGTAAATAAAGTAGTAGTCTTGTGCATGCATTTCATTTCCAAATACTACAACAGGTAAGACTTAAGCTTATTGGCTGTTCAGATTCTCCCAGGACAGTCATAGTGAGGGTGATTGTCTTTCAAGTAGAGATAAATGACTATAACTAGAACTCCCCACCTGGAAAAAGTCCTCCATGTCCTATCCCCCCATCAAGGTGGGTACTGTCTCTGACCTGATTTTTCTTATCTCCCCAAGTTGCAGTTAGTTTCCTGGAGACCCTGGACAAGAAGGCTGGTGGCAGTGGAGTCCTAATACTGGCCCCTGTCCAGAGACTCTTTAGGGGCAGGATCTGACACCTGTAGTTGGTAGAAATCCCTAATGTTCATTGGGTTTGAAAATCATCACCAAGAAGTCTGATTGGAGAACAAGTTCCAGAGTCTAGAATGCATGGCTTCAGATGGGAGATCTGCTACTTCCAGCCTGTGTACTCTAAGTAATTATAAGAGCCTCAGTTTCCTCGTCTATGAAATGGTGATGCCAGCACCTGGCATTGAATAAACGCAGGTGAGGTTGAATACAACACTAGCATTATTGACACCCCGTTATGACTACTTCTCCATCCTGCCTGAGCCTCTGGAGGTCCTTCTAGGACCACTGCTCATAGCCACACACTACCCCACATTTTCCAGGACAGGAGTCGTCTGACCCTGCAATATCAGCTCCCAGGCCTGCCCTGGGGCTCCTGGGTGGCAGAAACTGGCATCAAATGCAGCAGGTAGCTGTGCCTCCAGCATCTAGTCCCAGCTAAGCTGGTGGCAGAAGGTTGAAACCTGGCTTCCTTGTCTCTAGTTTTAAACGTCGTAACTGTTGGCGGAACCACAGAAAAACAAAGAGGAGAAATCAAAGAGGCTATGCTATCATCAAAGAGATGATATGTTAAAATACCATTCCAAAGCCTGGGCAAGGCAGAAGTCATTAACATTAATTACTTTTATTGTTGTTTTACTGTTATTGGTGGAGAACCCTTTGGCAGTACATTTCCAGTCAGAATGCAGGCATGGGAATCAAGGAAGCAAGGGGAGTTGTTCCTAGAGGTTCCTTAGAGGGAAACCAGAAACAGAGGGGCTCAGAAAAACATGAAGGTAGCAGGAACCGGAGGTCACCGGCTTTCTCAATATAAATCTCTGCCAAGGATGATTTCTCACCAAGACCAAGAGACAGATGTCTGCAGACAGCTCAGATCAGACTTGTGCAAAAGATTAGGCAGCCCCACACCCATTTATGACTAAAGCCACAGCTTGCCTTGATCTCCTAGGGTGATATTTTAACTCCTGCCATTTTCTATTTTCTAGGTTTTGTGATAGACAAAAAACAGGCAAAATATCTCATCTAATCTTTATAAGCACAATTGGAAGGGAAATATTTCCATTATAGAAAAGAGGAAAGAAGCTCCCAGAAGTTCAAGGATAGGTCGCAGTTGCAAACTAGCCAGAGAATCAGCCAGGATTGGACCTGGGAATTTACCTCCCCTACCAAGCTCTGGATTGTTGAACCAGTACCATTCAAAGAACTGCCAACAAGCTGGGATGGGCCACACACTGGTACTGGCTCACAGGACTTCAGAAATGGAGAGTGAATTTTTAAAAAGACATCTATGGGGCTATAGATGTAGTTTACTTGGTAGAGTGCTTATCTAGCATGAATGAAGCACTGACTTTGATTCCCAGCATCTTATAAAACGGGGTGTGGTGTTACATTAAAATCCCAGCACTTGGGAGATGAAGGTAGGAAGATCAAAAGGTCATCTTCAGCTACAGTAGAGTTTGAAGCCAGTCTGGGCTACATGGGAACTTGTTTTAGGAAAAAAGAAAAGAGAAGGAGGAGGAGGAAGAGGAAGAGGAGAAAGAGGAGGAAGAAGAAGAAAAAAAGAAAAATCCGCAGCAATTTGAAGAGTAATTTTATGTCTATCTTAATCTAAGAATAATTTTTAAAATCGTATTTGCATTTTACATGTCTTATTTCATTTTCTAGACATTCATTTTTATTATATTTTATAGTTTTCATCTATAATTCACTGCAGGGATATATACAGTCACTGGCCCTTGGGCACAGCTTGTTTGTGAAGCCCTGGGCTAGCAGGGCTGGACTCTTGCACAGGTGGGTGCTCAGTGCTACTAGAACTTCCTTGTATTGAGAATCAATTGATCCCAAGCTCAATGAAACCTTGGTCTGAAGCCCAGAAACACCCACTAGGCATGGAAAAACAAGCCTCACCCCTTGTTAACCATGAAAGACTTGATTAGAGGTGCTACAGGTTTCACTCTGGTTGGTCCAACCCTCATTATGAGCCATCAAATAAAAACAGCAGGTGAGAGTCTGGAACTTAGCACTGCCTTCAAAATAAGCCCTCTAACATCTGCTGCCTTTAAATAGAAGTATTTTGTTTTTTTGTGTATTCCTTCTCTTTAAAATTTTCATGGGTACCGAGAAACAGAACAAACACAAGGACCTGAGCTCCCATGCAGCTGGACCTAGTACAAGAAAGAAGCTTCTTAACCTACTAAGCAGGCTGGTCCTGGCCAGGCACAGGGAGTTAATGCACAGAAAGCTCAGAGTAAACTTCTAGGTCCATACTGCTCAGCGCCAAGTATCATTAGTCTTATTAAGATCTTCAGTCTCCAAGAGAAAAATTATAATATCTGCCTCCACCTCTGTCCCCTCCCCTGCAGAGGGTTAGCAAAACCTTTGTTTCAGAGGGAGGACTAAGTACTGTGGTGTTTGTGACATAGACAGATCTGCTGTCTTTGAAAAGATGCTATGGAGGTGTCTCTTCTCTGTGTCCTGAGGAGTGGCTGGGCAGGATGGAGACCAAGCCCTGGAGAGTTTCAGGAGAGAAACTGGGTGAGACAGAACTCATCCCTTCTAATGCTCTTGTGTGCTCACACACACATACTGAGTTCAAGGGGACTGTTCTCCATGTTGGGGAATGTTCTGTCACTGGGGCCCAGGTAGTAGGCAAAAGTGATCAAGCCCCTGTCCTCGTGACACTGATAATTTCTAGTTAGAGGAGAGAAAGACTAAACTGGTTAAATATGCAAGTATCAAGTCGTGGTCAGTGCTTTGAGTAAAACTAAAGCCACAGAAGGGAACTGGAGGGAGGGCGGGAGCTCATTTACAGGAGGGTCTTAGGCAGGCCTCTCTGATAAAGTGTCATTTGAGCAGACTTGATAAAGTGAAACAGCAGTGTGTTTGGGTATCTAAGACAAAATGTGGCAGAGGCTACAGTCAGTGCAAAGGCCCTGGGGTAGGAGCACACTTGGCTGGGAATCCTGGTGGCTGCAGCACAGTCAACAAGAGAAGTGTGGTAGGTGATGAAGCCAGATCTCATATCAGATTCCAGACCATGGTGAGGGTTTGGGATTTTACTGAGTCTGATCATGACCTCAGCTGCCCTGAGAGGCTGGCTGCTGGGCTGCTGGCCATATCTAGGAAAGCCCTGTGTGATTAAAGCATGCTGCAAAAGGCTGATATATTAAAATTAGCCTTGCTCTGATTCTTGATCCCATTCTGTCTCTCCCTCAGTTCTGTCTGATATAGCTTTGCAAGGGTATTTTGAGTAAATGGAATAAAGTGAGAAGGAGCTTTGCACAGGACCTTGCCTGCACAAAGTGTCCAATTAACATTCAAGAGCAAAATAAAACCAAGGTGCTCTTCAGTAGACAGAAGGCCATGAGTGCCTGTGCTTGGGAAAGGAGAGCTTGCTGAACACAGCCTGGCCCTGGCCTGAAGACAGCTGGAGGCATCTGACAGGGCAGAGGTAAAACCTCACACCAGAGCCTACTTCCTGCAGGTCCTTCCAGGGTAGGAGACTCAGGCAGCTCTGCACCCGCCCTGTCTGCTGCCAGGAGACAGGGAAACAGAGGTCCTGTGAGACTCGTGAGACCGGGAACCTTCATTTCCTGTCTTGAGAAGGTAGAAAAGAATGGAGGGGGCAAGTTGCCTCCTGAAGGAACAGAAAGGGCTGTCATCGACTGGACAGGAAACCCACAAGACTTGCAATGAAGAAGAATGGGGCAGAGAAAATTTGTCGGTCTCCATGCCATGCACTGCCATCCTTGGTACATGCCACCTGTACCAACAGACTGAGGGCGAATGCCAGAGGCAGGGAGTGTAGCTTGATTTCTTAAATAAGTAGGGTAAGGAGAGAGAGCACTCAGGAGGTGGCATGGACCTTCCAACTGTACCTCACAGATCTCTGGGATCCTGGGAGAGACTTTGGTGCTGGGTATGGGGGCCATCAGCAGAGAAGGTTGCTGAGTTATTTTTATTATAACAGAGCTCCAGAAAGAGCTGTCAGAAGTTCAGCACCTCCAGGGAACAACATGGAAGATGAGGTGGAAAGAATGTAAGAGCCAGAGGATGGGAAAGAGTGCTGTGACATTCTGTCTTCTGGACGTGATGTAACATGAGCATTACACCATGAACTCACAGCAGTTGTGATGACTGGAAAAGACCACAAGATAAAGCCAATAGGATCAGTTAACATTCTAACAGGCAGAATGAACTGAATTCAGTGGGTTAAAGACAGAGAGAACATGAAGGGGGATGGGGATGTATTGGGGGTGCCTTGAAAGAGTAGAAGCGGGGAGTTGGGGATACATATGATCAAGATACATTGTTTACATGTATGAAACTGTCAAAGAACACATAAAAGATTATATATAATATATAGAGGATTACAGATATAATATTAGATAGATAGATGATAGATAGATACATAGATACATGATAGATGATAGATAGATAGATAAATAGATGATAGAGAGAGATAGATAGATAGATGATAGACAGATAGATAGATATATAAATAGATAAACAGATAAATAGATAAATAGATAGACAGATAGATAGATAGATAGATAGATAGACAGCGCTTCTGGGCCAGGCAGGTGAAATGAATGAAGCAAGCCAGCTGTAAGGCAGCCAGGTCTGAGGCAGCAGAGGGACTGCATGCACCCCATCTAATTATAGCTTAGTTCCCACTTACCATAGCCAAGAAGGCAAGAAATGCAGGGCCTGTAGCTCATCTGAGTTTCCCAGAGAAACCAGAAATCCATATTTATGTGTGATTATGCAGAAAGACTATCTAAACATTAACAAGCCAGTGAGTCCCCAGGCTGCCGCGTCAGCCCTCACTCATACAGATCTAGCTTTCAGGGAAAGCCAGAAAGGTAGAGGGGGCTGTAGCCAGAATCTAGGCATTGAGTTCTATCTGTTTTCTTCCTCAGATCCCATACTTACTCAGCTCTGAGATGCTGCCCACACATGTGGCTAGAAGAGACTGCTCCAGCGTCCGAAGCTCCAGCTGAGCGTAGGCATCTGCTCGCTCATCATGGCCCAGGGTCCCACCGTTGTAGGGACTGAAGTATGCAGGGAGGGAGAGGACACCTGTTGGGGGGAAGCAAGATGGAGAGGTCATAGGGGCAGAGGGAAAGCTCTCTGAGCCATACCGCCACAGCCACTGTGTCTAGGGCTCAGCCCCACTCTCTTGTCCTGATACAGCATAGGACATGCCCCACTGAGCCATGAGGATATGGGACTTTTTACTGTGCCTGGTGCCCCAGATATCAGAATAAGAAACTTGTGCTAGGGTGTTACCTATATGTAGACTAAACTTGATGTTGCCAAAGAACCTGCAGGTTCGTGGGCTATCCATTGAATATTTATAATGTGCCTGATTGGACCAGTGTGCTTTCAGAGTTCTAAGGGGTGACAGAAAGACCTGGTTTTGGTGTATGGCACTCAAAAGTCCCTACGCCAGATGATCACAATCCTGCTTCTCCAAAGGTCAGCTGCTTGCAGAGTTCCCTCAGTTCCCCATGCTGGCCCATTTCTTCAAGGCCAGAAGGCCCTGAGGCCACCACTGGAAAGGGACACTGCCCTCTCTACTTCATGAAGGGGGCTGTCCCAGGCCCTGGCCAAGTCCAATTAGTGTTTCTCATTAGCACTTCAACAGTGGAGAACAGAGCTGCCAGAATCCATCTCAAGGGATGCCAGTCTAAATCTCTTCAGCTCACTGTGTGACTTCTTAGCAAGCAGCAGAAAAGCAGGACCAGGCTGCTTTAACATGACATGTTACTTCTTAAGAGCATGTGGCACCTCAGTGCCCACTGCAGTCTGAGCCCAGAGTAGAGATTCCCAACTTTTGGTAACTGCTGCTTCTCTGGCGGGTGGTTCTTTGCTCAAATCTCCTGCCTAGCTTTTATTTATTTATTTTAAAAAATATCCACAGTGGGGGCTGGAGAGATGGCTCCATTAAGAGCACTGGCTGCTCTTGCAGAGGAGCTGGGTTTGATTCCCAGTACCCACGTGGCGGTTAACAACTGTCAGAAACTCGAGTTCCAGGGGATCAGACACCTTCTTCTGACTTCCATAGGCATCACATGACACGGGTGCACTTACATGCATGCAGGCAATACACTCATACATATAAAATAGATGGAATAAATAAAATATTTTTAAAAAATTGCCGGCCATGGTGGCACATGCCTTTAATCCCAGCACTCGGGAGGCAGAGGCAGGCGGATCTCTATGAGTTCAAGGCCAGCCTGGTCTACATAGTG